ATTAGATAGTATACACTAAATCTATATTTATAATTCTTTTCCTATTATCTACCACCTTGGTCCGGCAAGTATCATTAAGGTGAGTTCTAACGTTGTCCATCCATTAAAAAGACTTCTAAGCGAAAGAATTATCAATACATGCAAGACACTATTCTAGAATTGTTATTTTAGTTAGGTTTTACCTCATTATTCACCTATGGTTCCCACAACCCTAGTTATGGAGTTTAGTTACCCATAGTCATAATCAAAATATTTAAATATGTAATATAAGAATTCATGCACTTACTTCCATGAGAAAGAATAAAATCTAGAAGTTCACTTGATTAATCAACAAAAATCACCAACAATCAATTACTGAAATTAATTGAAGACTAAAGATTCTCGAAAAGTGTAACAATAATCACCAAATCTAATCCACAAAAGAAGCTCAAATAATCAAGAGTCTAACAGTATTCAAGAGTCTAACCCTAAAAATGAGGTTTTTTGAACTATTTATAAAAAATAAAAACCTAATTAAATAAGGACTCTATTTGCTGGAAATTTGTCAAAATGCGGCTGGCTCGACGGACTTCGTGACGGATCGTCGTGGTCACGATGGACCGTCATGGATTCCGTCGTCCCATACTTGTGCAATTTCTTCTGCTGCTCTCTTCTTTATCCTCGACGGCAGGTAGGACGGATCGTCACAGGCACAACGGTTCGTCGAGGGTCTCCGTTCCAAAACACTTGAACTTTTGAAATTTGGGTACTGGACTACTTCTCTAATATTCATGACGAACCAGCAGGACGGACCGTCATGGCTATGACGGTCCGTCACGCACTCCGTAACCCCACACTTGGTCAGAATTTCCCATCTTCCTCCAGTAGCTGTACTACGATGCCACCTACGGACTGTCACGAGCACGACGAACCGTCACAAGCTCCGTAGGTGGTACTTTTCTGTATTTCTTGCTAAAAAACCTCCGCAATCATCTTTTAGACAGATTTCCTGCAAATAAAGAGAAACTTACATAAAAATTAGTACAAAAAGACTTTTGGACACATTAGACTTAAGAAAAAAGTATTAAAAATATCATGAAACCACGGTATATCATCACTTGAACGAATCTGTTGCATATTTATATCATCATTCTTTTCAAGTTCATGTGTGTAGAAAAGCTTCGGTGAAATATGCTTTGTTCTATTTCCTTTTATGAATCCTCCCTTAAGTTGTGCTATGCATGCTGCATTATCTTCATATAAAGTGATGGGTACTTTATCACATTCCAAACCACATTTCTCTAGAATGAGATGCATTATAGACCTTAACCACACACATTCTCTACTTCCTTCATGAATAGCTATTATTTCAGCATGATTAGATAAAGTAGCTACGATGGACTGCTTTGTAGATCTCCAAGATATGGCAGTCCCCCCACATATAAACACATAGCCTGTTTGGGATCGAGCTTTGTGTGGATCAGATAAATATCCCACATCAGCATAACCAACAAGATTTGGGCTACAATTAACAGAATAAAATAAGCCCATATCAGTTGTCCCTTTAAGATATCGCCAAATGTGTTTGATCTCATTCCAATGTCTACTAGTATGAGCAGAACTATATCTTGCTAACAAGTTAACAGCAAAAGCTATATCAGGACTTGTAGTATTAGCAAGATACATTAGTGCACCAATTGCAATAAGATATGGCACTTCAGAACCAAGAATTTCTTCATCCTTTTCTTGAGGTCGGAATGGATCCTTATTCACATCAAGTGAACGAACAACCATCAGAGTACTTAATGGATGCGCTTCATCCATATAGAATCTTTTTAACACTTTTTCTGTGAAGGCAGATTGATGAACAAAAGTATCATTTTTCAAATGCTCAATTTGCAAACCAAGACATAATTTTGTCCTTCCCAGATCTTTCATCTCAAATTCATTCTTTAAATAATCAATTGTCTTTTGAAGCTCTATTCGAGTTCCAATAAGATTTATGTCATCAACATAAATAGCAAATACAACAAATTCTGATATTGTTTTTTTTATAAAGACACATGAACAAATTGCATCATTTGTATAACCTTCCTTAATTAAATACTCACTAAGACGGTTATACCACATGCGCCCAGATTGCTTCAAACCATATAATGATCATTGCAATTTAATTGAATACATTTCTCGAGATTTTTAATTACATGATTTAGGCATCGCAAATCCTACAGGAATTTTCATGTATATATCATTATCAAGTGATCTATAAAGGTAGGCTTTAACCACATCCATCAAATGCATTTCAAGTTGCTCATGGACTGTGAAACTAATGAGATAACACAATGTTATTGCATCCATAACGGGTGAGTATGTTTCTTCATAATCGACGTTAGGCCTTTGAGAAAATCCTGGTGCCATAAGGCGTGCTTTATACCTTTGTATTTTATTTTTCTCATTTCTTTTTTGCACAAAAATTCATTTGTAACCAACAGGTTTAATACCATTAGGTGCTTGAACTATAGGTCCAAAAACTTTACGCTTGGCAAGTGAATTCAACTCTGATTGAATTGCTTCTTGCCATTTTGACCAATCATTTCGTTGTCGACATTCTATAACAATTTGAGGTTCATGATCCTCATTATCTTGCATGATATTTGTTGCAACGTTATATGCAAATACATAATCAATCACTATTTCTGATCGGTTCATATTAGTTTCAACATCTCTCAAATTTATGGATATTTTATTATTTCCTTGAGTTTCAAGTTCGTTGATTCTTTCATGAATATCCGACTTATTCAAATTTTGAACTTCCATATGAGATTCTTTTATAGTGTCATCTTGAAATTTAATCTTTCTTTTTCTAGGATTTTGATTCTTAGACCCTAATGGTCTACCATGCTTAGGTGTGTTTTTGACTCATTAGCTATGACATTAGTGAATGGTTCTTTAGGGACATCAATTCGAATCGGGACATTCTTTGCAGAAATATGTGATTTAGTAATCCTTTTCAAATCTGTAAATGCGTCTGGTATTTGATTTGCCATTTTTTGCAGATGAATAATCTTTTGTACTTCTTGTTCGCAAGTAGAAGAATATGGATCAAGATGAGACAATGATAAATATTTTCACAAAATTTCTCATGTTATTTCACTATTCTCTCCCCCTAATTTGAGTAAAACCGTCTCATAACACCGACAATCTGAAAATCTAGCAGTAAACATGTCTCCAGTCAATGGTTCAAGATAGCAGATAATGGAGGGTGACTCAAACCCAACATATATTCCTAACCTTCTTTGAGAGCCCATCTTAATGTGGTTTGGTGGTGCCACAAGAACATGTACATCACTTCCAAAAATTCTTAGATGGGATATATTAGGTTCTTGACCCATAACCAATTGCAATGGAAATATCTTGTAATAACTTGTCGGTCTGAGACGAATAAGTTTTGCAGCATGCAAAATTGCATGTCCCCACACAGAAGTGGGCAACTTAGTTTTTATAAGCAATGGTTTTGCTATTAATTGCAAACGTTTAATTAATGACTCAGCGAGACCATTCTGAGTATAAACATGAGCAACAGATTGTTCAACTCTTATCCCGATTGCTAAACAATAATTATTAAATGATTGGGATGAAAACTCTGCAGCATTATCAAGACGAATGGACTTAATCTGATTATCAGGAAAGTGTGTCCTTAACCTTATTATTTGTGCCAATAATTTTGCAAATGTCAAATTACGAGATGACAATAGGCACACATGAGACCATCTAGAAGAAACGTCTATTAGAACCATAAAATATCTAAATGGCCCACTAGGTGGTGAATATGTCCACAAATATCCCCATGTATACGTTCCAAGAATGCAGGAGACTCAATCTTAACTTTCATTGTGATGGTCTCACAATTAACTTGCCTTGATAACAAGCAGTATAAGAAAATTCACCATTTAAAAGAACTTTAGGTCTTTTAGTGGATGTCCATTCGAATTTTCTATAATTCGTCTCATCATTATTGACCCTGGATGTCCTAGGCGATCATGCCAAAGTAAAAAATGTATTGGAATCAGTAAATTTCTTATTTACTATAAAATGTGCCTCAATTGCACTAATTTTTGTCCAATACAAGCCAGAAGATAAACTAGGGACTTTTCTATAACACATGTCTGCCCAGAGACATTCTTGGTGATACCAAGATATTCAAGATTTATTTCATCCATTGATTGGATATGATAACCATTTTCACAAATATCTTTAAAACTCAACAAGTTTCTCTTAGATTTTGGAGAAAACATAGCATTAATAATGATGAGTTTAGTTCCCCTGCGCAAAATTACAATTGCTCTTCCAAAACCCTCAATCATATTAGTACTATCAAAAATTGTAGTAACATTTATTTTATCCATACATAAATGAGAAAAATATTTCTTATTTTTGAATATCGTATGTGTTGTACCAGAATCAATCAAACAAATATCTGCATATTTCGATAATATGTTCTTAGAATTATCCATATCTACACATGAAATGACATACACAAAATAAATATATATTGAATATTAGTGTTGTCAAAAGGGTACAATATATTCAAAGAAATAAATTAATAATTAAATATTAGAAATTGAGCCTTAATTTATTATTTTCTCTAAGTCAAAAATGAGTTGTTAGGAAAATAAAATCATTATTTAATCTAGTTAATAATAGACTGCATGTTTTTAAAATTAGATCAAATTAAAGACCTAATATAATACAAACACATGATAAATCCTAGTTAATATCAGAATTTATGTTTTTATTAGACCAAGTTAAAGACCTAATATAATACAAACACGTGATAAAGTTTAGTATTTGACTAACTCTATCATATTAGAATCATATAAATAAATCAATGAAATATATATATTATTTAATTAAGAATTAAGGAACAAGCTAATGAACGACTAAAGTAATTTAAAATACTAATACTCATGCAAACAACTATCATTACATGAAATTTATTAATAAATACTACCAAAAAAATATCACTCTTCCATGTTCACAGAACCATCATCAATTAAGTGATCTATTTTTCCTTCAGGATGTGCGAAGAAATCTGCTACATCCAAGTGTGTGATGTCAACTTGATTTTCTGAGATAAAATTTGCCTCAGGATTTTTCTCTTTCTTCTTTAGTGATTCTTGATAAAGCTCAACCAAGTGTTTGGGAGTACGACAATCACGTGCATAATGACCTCTTCCACCAAATCGAAAACAACCTTCCCTAGTTGCTTCACGTTTCTCATTCTTTCTTTTTTCCTTTTCATTTGATGAATGACTAATGCCAGGAATATAATTACGTTCTTGACCATAATCACGACCACGTCCACGTCCACGATCACGATTAGGACCACGAACTTTTCCATGCCTAGCATGGTGGGCGTACGCCTCATTCACTTCAGGTTGTAGTTCAGATCCAGTAGGTCGATTCTCATGATTTTTCAATAATAAATAATTATTTTGCTAGGCCACAAGAAGATGAGAAATTAGTTCAGAATACTTTTTGAAACCTTTCTCTCGATAGTGTTACTGCAAGAGCACTTTCGAGGCATGGAAAATGGAGAACGTCTTTTCCATCATATAAATCTCACTAACCGTTTCTCCACATAATTTCAGTTGAGAAGTGATTTTGAACATGGCAGAATTGTACTCATGTATAGACTTAAAGTCTTGTAGCCTTTGATGCATCCAGTCATATCGTGCCTTTGGATGTATGACCATCTTCAAGTGGTCAAATCTTTCTTTTAGGTTTTTTCACAAAACAAGCGGATCATTAACTGTCAGATATTCGATTTTCAGAAGCTCATCAAGATGATAACACAAGAATATCATTGCTCATGCATAATTTTGATTTGATGCCTTATTTTCTTCTTTTATGGTGTCTCCAAGACCCATTGCGTCAAGGTGTATTTCAGCATCCAACACCCATGAGAGATAGTTCCTGCCCGAACTTTGAAGGGCAGTGAACTCTAGTTTTGTAAGATTGGCCATTAAAATTAAAAACAAAAGAATAAATAATACCTTTATTATTTCTTCAAATCTAACCTTCACTTTTGAGAAATTAGAGTCTCGTGCTAATAACGTGTTATAAAACTGTAGAATAAGAAGAAGAAACTAGAGAGAAAAGAAGAGAAGACTTGTTATTTTTCTTGATGAATGAATTTACAATGAAGAAGAGCACTCTATTTATAGGAGAAATCTAACTTGGTCCCCAAGTAGGACTCTTTAACAATATCTTAAAAAGGACTCCACATGATAGACATTCACTATAATACAAATACTTTATAATAAATTTTTAATTTTTTTAAAATATAATTTATTGTAATGCTGACATGTGACACTTTTTCTTCTCCTTTTATAGAAGACATAATTAATTTTAATTTTTTTAAAATATAATTTATTTTAGTGCTGACATGTGACACTTTTTCTTCTCCTTTTATAGAAGATAGATCGTGCGGTTAGATAGTTTAAATTAATTTTTTTATTAAATTATTTCTTTTTTATATTTTATAATCTTAAATTTCAATTTAAATTTCAAACTATTTAATTTCTATTTATTTATAAACTAATTTTAACAAACTTTATTATAACATCTTTTAAAACAATTTTAGAACTAGAAAGTTAATGTCCGCCGTTAGAATTTTTTGAGTTTTTTCTTTTAATATTTTTTCCGTGTATTTAATAGAAGTAGATAATGTTAGCAAACTTCATTATAACACCTTTTATATATGCTTTCATTATATTTTTTTTTGCAGAATTTTTTTTAATATAAGAATCTTTTTCCGTCTATTTTTAAATACAGAATTAAAAATGATTGATTAAAATTTGTAAATAATTTAATTTTACTTAATAGATTATATAAAATTAATTTTACGTAATTATGAAATTAATGATCATAATCTGAAGTTGCACAAATATGAATAAGTATAAAAAAGTATTAGTAATAAAAAAATAAAACAAAAAGTAATGGATTTATCAAACATATAATAAACTTTCAGATTATTTAAAATATAATATATTTAATTTCTATATTTGCATCCGTATATGTATGTCTTTTCTTTGAAAAAAAAATGCTCAATTCTAAAAGTTGTTGACTAAATCTCTACTCGTACAAAGAATGAAAGATTAACACTAAAATATAGAGATGATCTTCATATAATTTTCCAATGTTACTGAGAGATTCATCCTCACCATTTAGGCCACTAATGTTATTTTATGAAGCTATCTTCCTTGATGTCTTTTGAATTTATGTTGAGCAACTTTCACATATAGCAAATAAAAAATTTATATTTGTATACTATAGCAAAAAGTTTGTATAATTGCGTTCCATTGCAAACATAGAAACTGTATAATTCGCTATACATATACAGTTGAAGCAAATTGTATAAAACAAAGTGTATAAAATAAGAAAGAGAAAGACACTCGGGCAGAGAACTGTATAAAAACAAAGTGTATAAAACGAATTGTCTTATTATAAGTGTGTAGAACGATTATATACAATTTGAATTTGTATAAAATGAGAAAGAGGAAAAGACAAAAGAGACTTGACAAGGAATATACAATTTAATCGAATTGTATAAAACGAGAAAGAGAGAAATTAGATACAATTTGAAAATTGTATAAAACGAGAAAGGCAAAAGAAACTGGGCAGGGGAGTATTTTAATTGTATAATTATAAGTGTATAGGACGAAAATATATGTACTTGCATGTGTATATACAATTTGCTCACGCTTTATACAAACAGAACGCATTTTATACATTTCGCTTCTGTTTGTATAAGTGAGAAAGGCGAGGGTGGTGAGCGAAATTTGGGAGATTGGCGAGCGAGATCTAGAAGAGGGGAGAGAGGGGAACAAACATCTATATATTTATACAATTTCTCTGCTTTATACAATTAGAAATAATTTTTATAGACTTGTGTTTATATAAAAAGTGAGGAAGCGAGCGAGAGATTGAAGGAGAGTGGCGAGCGAGATATTTGAGAGAAAGGCGCCTGATAATTTTTTGCAAACATTTGCTATGGAACACAATTAAATCAAACTCTAGCTATTCCTTTTGTTTTAGGTTATTAGTTTATTATTATATACAATTTTCCCTTTTATGTTTTGATCAATAAACTTACTTTTTTGGTTGTTTCCAATTTTTAAAAAATAAAGACAAAATTTACGTGAATTCGTGATTGCTTTAAAAAAAACTTTCAAATATATATGTATGCAAAACCTTGTAAATATTCAATTTAAAAATAAATTATTTCACATTTAAATATTATCATACTCAATATGAAAAATAAAATCGTTAGTCACAACATAATTTTAAAAAAAATACATCGATTTGTGAGAGTTTTCAATTTCTTTTATAATTTATTTATCATTTTTTAATCCTCTATATAGTACATAAAAACAATTATTTCTTAATAAAATAGGAAGACAAAACACAAATGCCTCAAAAAAGTGAGATTCTCTCATAATTATCACAAAGTATGTTCCACTACTATAGTTGCAACGAACTCCTCTTTTTCAATGAATTGCTCACTTTATTGTTCAAACTTCTTTTGATTTTTCTTTTATCATTTTTCATAACTCGATTATAATCATAAATTTGTACCTTCTTTAAAAAGGAATAAAGAAAATTTTGGAAAACAATTACGATGATTGGGGAAGAATATTTATCCGTTTGTTTGAATATATTATCAATAACCACTCCTTTTATTGTAAGATAGAATTGGGAAGTAAATATGGGGTTAAAATATTTTTTTAATTACTTTTTTTCATTATTATTAAATAAAATTTTTACAAAAAGAACCTTTCCAAAAATAAGGACCATGACGTTGATTTTTTTTTAAGAATTTCTTTTTTCATTTTTCATTTTTTTTTAGTGTTTGAATTTCTATTTTTATTTTTAGAATTCCAATTAGTTTTAATAATCTACAAAAACAAAAATATTTTGGTAATGCTGACAATAAACATTTATAAATTTTTTAAGAATCCAAAACATGTTAAAAATATATAACAATTATCTTTTTATTTATTAGTTTTTATTTTCAATATTTAATGATTTATGTTTTTACGGATTTGTTTAAGAAAACATTTTTATTTTTACATTTTTAGATTTTAATTCAATTCTTTTTTGTGGTAACTTTTTTTTCTGATTTTTATGATATACAGATAAATTATATATTATTATTATTATTATTATTGTTGTTGTTGTTGTTGTTGTTGTCTACATTTGTTTTTCTTTAAATTTAATTTTTTAAAAATCTAATTTAGTGTGACACTTTTTCTTCTCCTTTTATATATATAAATATATGCTTCAACTTTGGAAGGAAAAGGAACTTTGATGAAATGTGATATGTATCATCTGCTCAAGTAATTTCGCATACTTATAAGCTCAATTACAAACACTTTATACATACAATGGAGTTATAACATTAAGTCAACATGCTTATACTTCACAAATAAATGATTAGGTTGCATATCACTTGATCTTTTGAACTCGTTTGGAAGCTCGATTCCCATTATCTCATTGTTTTATTGTGATTAAACTCTCATTATAATGAAATACTCCGCAAACACTAGCTTTTGCATGCTTTTTCAAGTCTGGACGTGTAACTTGTTAGTTCAAACATTATAGGAGATCAGTTAAGAAGTTCTAGTTGTCAAAATGCGAAAGCTATCATAACAAGACTTAATAAATGGGAAGCATTGAAAGGTAACAAGTTTGTTTCAAAATCCTGATTGGATCATTACCCATATAGCATAATCAAACATACTAAGATTGTTCAAACTCAAGATTGCAATGGAATCATCAACCAACATCAAACCAAATACATGAGTATGAATATGTGGCCCTTCAATCCCCTCAAACATCTCACCCCCAAAGTCAAATAAAAGGACAACGTAGTAACTATGATAGTACCCTCTTAACAGCCAATAAAAAATCAATTAGAAAAGCAGTATGAAATGTTTATTTTACGCCTATAATGAAGAGGATTTTATGTTTGAAAATTCCACACGAGTCCTTAGAACATGAATAGACAGCTACTGAATTTTCACACAAATAGCAAATCACTTTATAGTCATTAGTCAAATTGTTTAATCTTAACCCAAACACAGGGTGATTATTGATCATTGGTGGAGGAAGATGGAGGAGTTTCACCTCACTAGTAGCAGAATTCCATAATGCACACGAATGCACATGATCAATTGCTCCAAACATTAAAAACAAGCCGTTCACATAACCTAAAAGGTATGTCATACCTTTAAATGTCTGGGATTTTCTTCAGAAATCAAAGTTAGGAAAGTGGATTCATAACAATCACCACAGTTACCAGTATTACAAAGCAGGAGTTGTGGGTGTGTATTCTTGCTACAATTCAAGTGTTGTTTAACAAATTTAGAGTTTTGGATAAAAGTGTATCAATTCTTGTGAACACATTTGAATCGCAATAATAAATCTACAGAACACCTCAACAGAATCTCATTCACTATATCTTTAGGAAAATTAGCCACACAATCCAATCGTCTATTTTTAATTTAGGTTTCAATAAAAGCAATTTTCTCCTTTAAATAGACAAGGAAAATATTCTTTCATTCTTATCCTTCATTTTTGTTACCATAATTCAGTTTATCAACATTAAATTTTGTTCTAAATTTAGTGATGGAATATGTGCATCCACTACCAGTCAACAGAGCATGTCCCTTGACATAGTAACAATAGTGTG